TTTTCTTAATTACTGGGTTTTCAGCTGGTTGTGCCATGTAGGTCTGGGATAAGGAAGTTTGCTGGGGGGAACTTCAATTATTGAGGTTTTCACTTTTTTAACAGAAGGCAGAGAATGTGACCCAGAGAGGGCAGGAGACAGACCCTACTTCTCCAACCAGTTACACATGTCTACCCCGCTGACCAAAGTAAATACTTTTATTAAGCAAACTCTTCACTTACAGTATTTATATTATAGACACAACATTTTTGAATTTAAGACATGGAATGAGCACAAGGGACAGGTCCTTCTGTATGCAAGAGAGGTGTCCCCCCAGGGGCCATGTGGGAAGAGAAAGGATGGTACGGTGAGGGGAGGTGTTTTACAAAAGGCAGATTTGTTGAAATAAAAAATCCACCTCCCCACTTCAAGCAAACCATTCCCCACGGTGGTTTTGCTTGATTTTTTTTTTTAAAGTTTCTGTCAGGGAGCAGAGGTGGAGAGACAGGAGAGGAGAGAAAGGATGAGGACCTCAACATTTTCATCCCTCAAAGACCTCCAAACCCATCTTCCCTAATGAAGAACTTCACATTCAGAACCAACAAAACCCTGCTTTCCTGTACAAATAACATGAAGTAACTGAGCCATTTGACTGCACTGGTGAGCACTCCCTGAAGCTCCTGCTCTCCTCAGAACTGCTGCCAAGCACCACAGCTCCTCTTTCACTCCTCCCTCTCTCATTCTTGTGTTGCTATTGGGTTGGCTTTTTAAAGGGGAAAAATTTAGTGTATACCAACAAAAGGAAAAAGAAAATCCATGCTGCTTTTCAGCCACAACAGGACTACTTCATCACAGGAAGCTGCATGAAAACTGTATTAATTCTTCATAAAGCAGACGGATTCTGCCTTCTCTTTGAGGTGAGAACGCCTTTATGAATGATATAACAAAACCACCTCCTTTAAAAGCTGTAGAGTGTTGAGATCTTTCTGCATGTACCCCTTGATGCTGAGCACTTCATCAGATCACACTAAAATGTCTGCTCAAATCCAGTGCCTGAGTGTCCAGAAGACAGACAGTTGCAGGTCCTGCACACTTCAGCCAGACAAGCAACATGAGATTCACAATGGGAATTAGGGGTGAGGCTGAAAAGAAACATTCATTAAATAATCGTGTGCGCCCTATTACCATAATCACATCGCAGCCATTGTGCCTGGGATGTTTCCTCATCTTGTCCTCTCAAAGATGAAAATCTCTTATTTCCCTTCTCTGTACCTCTGTTCCTTTCTCCAGCCATGGCTTGGACACAAAACCAAGGAGGACTGTCTGACCTGACACATCTTTTCTTACCAGGGAACATTGTTAGTAACAAGTATTTGAAATTATGATCTCATCCTATGTGACTTCTTCATGTTTTAATTCTTTCCACACCAGAATGATAGAATCATGTTCAAGGCAACAGCCAGTAGCTGATTTACTAAGCTGCCACCAGAATTACACTATTTATTTTAAACTTAGCTTTTAATTACACTATTTCTTTTAAATTCAGCTTTTAACTGAAATGTAACACTATTTCCTTACTCTTGTAGAGAAAAGAATTTTAAAAAGAAAAAATTCTTAACAAAAGCTAAAAATTATTAATCCAGAAACTGTCACAGTCTCTTGTTATTCCCTTACACACACACAAGATGCCAAACAAATTTGGCAATGTGGTTCATGCCCAGGGCACTGACAACCCCAGCTGATGAACTGCACTCAATGGGGAGGTGCTTTAGGACAACCTGCTAAAACAAGAGACAATCTAAAGACCCCAAGTGAAATCCTGCTGCTCTCAGCACATCTGAAGAACAAAGGTCAACAATAAACAGCCTGCTGATTGCAGGAGACATTTTCAGAAGCCAAATACTTTTAATATAATCAACGTCAGCAAATACCTTTTTAAAGTCCCTAATATAGAAAAGACCTTCCACTATCCAGTTTTTGCTTTTACATCACACACTGAGTTTAGGCTTTTCAATTTTAGAACAATTTCAACTTGTTCTCAAGAACAAGTACGCCTTTGAAATTCTTTTTAGAGTCCCCAAAGGAGGGAGAGGAAATTAGTTAGCTCACTGCCCCTTTGAAAAATGTAACTGCTACAATAAATATTTGACACCAAAGTATGAAAATTCATGTAAATTTATGTCCGCAATTCCAGAAATATTTTAAGTAACACCTACATAAAATAGAGTTTTGCATGGCAGGATGATTTTATAAGCACTGTTTTGGCAAGACTGAACTTCTGAGGGCTGGAGAAGCCACCAATGTATTACACATGTCACGGCAAAGAACTGAGCTAAACTCACTCTGCAGGAGGCCCACAGCACATCTATTTGCAGTATTTCTATCTTAAAAGCAGTTAAAAGTGTTTGTACATCAGGTGTCTCCATCATTTACCCTGCTCAAAACCAGCCATGATCTGTCCCCAAATAACAACTCCAGTAAAATCAGGAGTTTTTTGGCTCCTCAGCCTATAAATAAACATGCATGTTTCGTGAGGATATGGGGATTATCCATCTCCACAAATACTCCTTCTAAAAGTAATCTGACCTAGCAGGCTGGAGGAACGAGTATTAATCATGCTGGGCTCTGGCTTAGCATAACTTTGGGTAGAAAAGAAGAATCTTCACTGCAAGGCAAGGGAGAAAACCACAACTCTTTTACCAGAACTCCTCTGGAACAGGTAAATTAAATGGATTTTAAATGTACACAGGTTTTTTTTAGATTTTTCTGTCATTTGGAACACAAAGTACTCCCAAGATATAAGGGTTATAACGAGCCAAGGGCACATGGGACAGTGAAAAATGATGTGTGCAGAACCACACATTACCACTGAAGCAGCAAGTGCACGTGGGGTAATGTACATGCAGAGCAAATGCATTTGACTTTCTATTTCATTGCAGGTTGCAATAATTTAACTGGCATGCCTGTGTTTCCTGTTTTACTTACACCTTTTCATCAACCACTAATAATTCTATTTCAGCTGCAAACTAAGAACTGCAAGAAATTCTCTAAAAGAAACAAGCTGGTCTTTGGCTAAGCTGCAATTTGATTTATCCTACGACAATACACTTGACTGGTCTGACTATGTATGTAAAATTATATACCTGATCTGTACATTTTTACTTACAAAGGCCTCTCAGAATTCTAGTATTTTTAAAGTATGGGCAACACAAACGCCACCTCAATCCTATCTGCCCAGTCTTCCTGGCACAAGCTAATTTTTTTTAAAAATCATGGAATGGGTTTGGTTTGGAAGGGACCTTTAAAGCTCATCTAGTTCCAAACCCCTGCCATGAGCAGGGACACCTTACACTAGACCATGTTGCTCCCAGCCCTGTCCAACCTGGCCTTGGACACTTCCAGGGATGGGGCAGCCACAGCTTCTCTGGGCAACCTGTGCCAGGGCCCCACCATTCTTATAGTAAAAATTTCCTCTTAATATCTAATCTAAATCTACCCTCCCTTCAGCTTGAAGCCATTCCTCCTCGTCCTGTCATTACGTGCCCTTGCAAAAAACCCCTCTCCAGTCTCCCTGTAAGCCCACAATGTATTGGAAATGAAGTTGCATCCCCGTGATTAAATCCCACTTGGCACCAGGATGAACACGAGGAGGCCCCGTCCCCTCCTCGGCCCCCCCGCGCCACTAAAACCAGAAACACTCCTCACAAACTAACAGACCCTGAGTCACTGCAAGGGCCTCTTTGTAGCAGGCTCTGCTACAGAATTTACTGTACATAGTCTTTGTTTGGGGATTCAGAGTTTATCCAAGGACCTTCTTTGAACACTGAGAACCGACTTCGCAGCCGTTCGCCGCCTCGCTCGCTATTTACTGCAGGCACCCGTTTGTGTTCCTGGAACTGTCTCCCCTCTCCCTCCTCCCCTCAAAGTTGATTCTGTTGACTATACAGGGAGCTCAGGCTTTTAACTCTGAATCACAAAGTTAGATGCCTGAAGGAGACAGTGCCAATACCCATCTGTCTAGTTAACAATTCTGTAAACAGCAATGGTACCATGAGAAGATTTCCACCCACTCTTCACTCGGAGGTTAAATTCATCTCCTTTTCCCATTTGTGAGTTTTAGCTATAAAGTGAAAAGTTGATGTTGATTGAAGAAACTATTCCTCAGATATCCTGCACAAAAGGCATTCATCTGTGTGTTAGGATGGTTCAAAGCAAACGTTTATGCATCCTAGATTAATTTATTAAATGAAATTTATGCAGCTTGTTGCTGATGACATGAAAAATTTAGAGCTTCTACTACCGTGCTCATTTGGCCTCCTTGCAAGAACAGACTGTATTTCAATTATCTCAGACTACAGACAAAGAGGAGAGGAACAAAGCTTTTCACAAAGACTGTCCTCATAACTAAACCAGCATATTAAAAATGGATTGTGGATCTCAGAATAAAACTGAACAGGTTAAAGTACAGCTAAGAAACACTTGGAACATTGGTGTGTATGAGGAATAGCAGATTTCAAGTAGGTCTTTTGTAAGTATTTTCTTCACTTGAGTGGGTGACAGATTGGTAAAAGAGAAGCTAGAAAAAACCAGAAAAGGACTTATCTTCCCTGAGGAGTTTCCTTTCCAAGTCCCATCCCCGAGACACAGCAGTTTCTTGGAGTCAATGCTTAATCTCCATTTTTTACTCTACTCCTGACCTATGCTGTATTTCCCCCTCTCTCTCATGAGGTCACAGCCTTTACACCACTCTGTCATACACCAATTCTTCTGGCTCGACTTCCCAGAGAGAACACGGAAATTCTCTGCAAGGCTCTTCAGAACGTTTTGATGAGGAACTCTCGAACGCCTGAATTAAACAATGTTTATTACCTAAATACACTTGGGTAGCTCCTTAAGGGAAAAATATAAAAACATACCCAGGTCAAAAATACCCTACACTTCCAGATAAAAACACACCCAGGTCAAAAATACCCCACACCTCCAGCATTTCACGGAATTATCGCTGCAGTTTTAAGCAAAAGCAAAACAACATCATCACAGCCTTGATCATCCAAACACCGGTGAAATCCCTTGGCACAAAGTTAAACAGCCAAAAATTAGCAGGAAAGATGCCCAGCTATTACATGCTGAACTAAATAACGCTTTAGAATTATTTTAAGCAACTGAGGATGAGATTGTGCTTTGAACCTTGATATTAAGTGGCATTGAATAAGGCGTTGGCTTTTAAATACATACACTTGTGTATAAAAACAATGGTTGTAATTACCAAATTAATGTTTTACCTGAGAGAAGCTACTCTTTTCTTTAAATTAACCTCACACAAAGTTATAAAAGACAAACAGAAAGATCTAAAGCACATTCTTCCTCTCAATAATTTCCTCTGCTGCAGCACACTGCTAAAATAAGAACGACTTCCCAACACCACCTCAGATACTTGTCCTTGCTGCTGGCAGGTGAGATTGCAGACATGCTTTTTCACTTTTAACCAGTTGATTTTGCACTTCTTTACTTCTCTTTCTTTAATCTAAAAGGCATATTTAAGCTCAACCACACCTTTGTTGTGCTCCCAACTTAAAGGGATAGACTATTTACTCATCTTTAGCATGATTTCAAAGGGATTCTGTTAAATGCCCAGTAAAATATTTCTGAAGGTGTCCTCTTTCTTTCTTATTTGGCTAAAGAGGACAAGATGACAACTCTATTTTTTCCACAAGTTTTAGAGAAGAACTCAACAATAAATGTTGCAAGAAAGGATTTCCTGAGATATGGGGAGATTCTTCAGCTATCACGTAACAGCTTCCCACTTTCCTATGGAAGCATGAATAATTATTTTAAATGGAATAAACACAGTTAAAGATGAACCAAACCAACAGGCTTATTTTATATATTTAGGTTGGCATCTAATCTCAGAAGGCATGGCCATAACTCATCAGGTAACACCAACCTGCTACCACGGTAACTCATAAGCTGTTTCATAGTGTGATCTCTCCCTGTTAGGAAAACAATATTTCCTAGACTTTGGCTCTCTTACTAATTTTGCATCTCATTTGCTTCACATTCACTCAGTTATAGCACTTCAGCAACTACTCATAGCAAAATATGGGTGTAACAGTCATCATAGTGATTATTATTGCTTTAAAGGACAAGTTAATGTCATTTAAACATTAAGATCACATTAAGTTCACTGAAAGTGTTCCATTCACAACAATTTATGAAAACCTGCTTGAAACAAAGGTGAGTATGTGCTTAAGCCTGCTTGGAAATCCCTGCATGAAGCCCTGTCCCTCCACAGGCTCTTTGCTGGGGTATCACCACTCATCACGAGAGATGTGCTCTCAGAAAGTGCTCCAATGACATGGATATGGGAAAAAACAGCAGATTCTTTAACTTTCCTGTCAAATTTGGCTAAAATGCATTACTTGGGCACATGCTCTTTCAAATATGAAAGTGAACTCAGCAGAAACACTTCCCAGGTACTGGGAGCTAAATTGGGGATGTTGTTAGAAAGCAGGAAAAAAAAATTTGAAAAAAAAAAAAATAAAGGGAGGGGGTGCAAAAAAACCAAACAACCTTTTTTTTCCCTGTGCTGACAGTGCCATAAAGCCCAACTATAGATCCTGCAACCATTTCAAAGGCAGGAAAGGCTGAGGCCTTCACTGTGGTGTCCACTGGCTTTGAAGTGCCGAAAGCAGCTGCTCCCAGCAGATAGGAACTGTGGTGCTGCTGGAGTTATTTTTTTCTTCAAAATATACTTTCAAATCTAACAGCTGCAAGTAGAACAAAGTTGAGCTAAAGTATATTTAAAGAAAGAAAAAAAAAAGCCACCAGTTTCTCTCTAAGAGTGTTCTCAGTGGATACTTCAAAAGCAAGTGGCACTGAATCAGATGAAGCTGGAACCAAGAGAGACATACTGCAAGATCCAAAAGTTCTTCTTCACCTTATTAATGGATTTCAATGCATTTGAAAAGTTAACAAACTGCCATGGTTTTATATGGTTTTGTCCTAATTCTTTTTCAAGCAAAAGAAAAAAAATACATAAATATCGGTATATATCAGGTCGTTTGTTGTTAAAAATATCAGATAAATATCAATATATAACACATCACTGTGGTTAAGCTTCAAGCAGAGCAATCTTTCAGCCCCACAACCAACATGTTCACAGCAGTAATCTCTTGTAAATCAATATTCCAGGAGAGTCCTGTGAAGCACGGGCAACTATTCATATAAAGCAGAGAGGTGAAACCACAGCTCCCAAGTCCCTACATTTCCAAAATATTTCTCAGATTGGAGAACAGGATAACACATCAGTTAATTTGGTTCTCCATTACCAATTTGATTAAATTTATGGGCAGGTGAATTGTCCAGTGTGCCTTCAGCACTACTCCTGCCACTCGCTGTGCCAAGCGACTCAAAACAGAGCTCAGGGTCAATTTTCCTTCCCTTTGTGTGTAAATTCCAACTGACAATTAGATTCAAACACTTGAGGCAGAACATCTCAAAGCAATTACTACATTTTTCAGGTAGCTAAAATATCCAGGATTTTGGCTGGGTGTCATTTCCAAGTGGAAGTCTGCAAGAGCCCTGTCGAAATGTATCCCCAGTTCTAATTTACTGCTCTATTTAAACAGTTTCAATCAGCCTATTCCTTCCTCCCCAAGTAACAACCAAAGAAATATGCAGTAAAACAAGGCAAGGAAAAGTCTGCTTTAAAAATGGTTTAGGAGCTCTGAAGCATAAATAGAGGGTAATACAGAGAAACAGAAGTTGGAACTACTGAAAGGAAATTTTAAGTGTGGAAGGACTGAGCTCATCCTGCCCCGTGGTGGGGCTGAAGGGGCTTTGTGCAGCAGAAAGGACCATACAAAAGGAACATCATTTCCAGTGATAACCCACTGCAATCTGTAGGAAGGGTCACATATTTTTCATGCTCACAAGTTTTCAAAGAACATTCCAAATGAAGTACAAAGAGAAACAAATTTTTAGAAAGGGCATAAACAGGATTCCGCTGAAAATTCTTCTGAGGCTCTCATTGTTTAGCTGTTCAGTGCTGAAACCCTTTCCTTTGGGTTCCAGTGATGTCTCATAAAGCCTAGCTGTTCTTTCTTACAGTAAAAGCAGCTATCCTAAATAAAGTAAAAGGGAAGCAGTAAACTTGTCCTCTGAGTGGAAAAGGCTCTCACTGATGTTGACCACAATATCAACATTGTTACAGAATAGCAATGTAAAAAGAGTCAACAAAACCATTTTAACCCTCACATTAATTTCTTGGGTTTGGGTTTTTTTTTGATCCAGTCTCCAGAAGGTGTAAATATAATAGGACTGGGGGTATAAGAAAACACATAAAACCAAACCATGATAACACAAGACAGTATCATTTGCCTTTAGTGAGCAAAGCCAGCTGAGTACTGGGCAGAACATTTTATCTATGGCTTGGTAGGTCTTACCATGGATAATAAAGAAAAAAATTACCATTTGTAGGTAGGAACAGGAATGTCCTAACTCCTGATACGCTGCAGATTAGTATTTACCTCTCTCAATCATGTTCCTAAGACTGAGAACAAAATCCTGGCAACTCAAGTGCTGACGCTGATAATTCTGAGTGAGGACAAGAAAAAAACTTTGATCTGAACCAACAAACTCCCTCCTACACAAAACACACTTGTTGTTCCTCCTGAGCACAGGCAAAGGTCTCTCCCAACACCCACCAAAGCCATCTTGCTCCTTAATTCCTTGAAAAAGCCCCTTCCAGATGGGCCAGAGCAGGTCTCATGCCAAAGCCAACTGCAGTGGTTCATCCCCTTACAGCACAGAGGATGAAAAGAAATGAAACCACATCCCCTGGTGGAAATGCAAACTTACATCCACATTGATAAGAGAGAACTTCTATGGATTAATCACATTACTCCTATGAAGCACTAAAAAAACCTTTTAATCCTTTAACAGGTGTTACCAACAGAGGCCACTTTACTTCCGTGACCAAGCAGCATCTTACACCAGCTGGGATGGGCTGTCCAGCTGTGCAGCTCTCAAACCTCTATCATGCAACAATTTGTCTACTTCTACTTCTGTTTTTTTCCCTTCACACTCCATGACACTACTGAACTCAACTTTCTTGTCTCCACCCAAATGTTTCCTGAATATTCCCCAACCCTGAAATTACTTTACAAGGGAGAAAAATCACCATCAGTGGGCCAAAACAAGCAGTTGTAGGAACACACCCCACGCTCAAAATGATAAAAAGAACAAACCGCTGTTCCTCGACAAGAAGAAAAACAGATAATGCATTAAATAACTTAATCTGGTGATTATGAAAATAGGTGTTGCCACCTGTAAGCCTGGGAAACAATCTGAAAGAGTCGGAGGTACAAAGGATCACAAAGAGGAAACAAAAATATTTTCTGTGGGGGCTCTTCCTCCTCTATCCCCCAACAAATCAACTCTGCAGATCTATAAATTGTGTCTTTATAGGAAGGACAGAAACACACAGTGAGAACAGGGCTAAGCCTGCCCCAGGAACTGACCTACAGCTGCAGGAAGGGCTGTCCCTCCTCCCCTCCACCTGAAGGAGCAAAGCCACTGACCTGTTGTTCATAGTTTTTCTTGACCTCCTCCAACTGCCAGGAGAATTCTTGGGATTGTTTTTCCCGTAGCAATTTTGATCTGCTTAGATCAGCTTCAACCTCTGCCATCTACATGGTAAAAGAAAGGGAATATTTAATTTAATCTTTTTTTTTTTTTTTTAAAAAAAAAAAAGGCAGAGCTTGAAATGTTCTGATGTTTCTACAGTTGTTTGTAAATCATCAAAGAGGAGAATATCACTTGTTGGGAATGGTAACAACATCGTTTGTGGTCAAAATGAATATTCAGTCACTACAGGATTATTAGTTACCCAAGGACAGAGTGATCACTTATGTCATGCCACTCCCTAATTACAAAGTATTGACTCAGTTTTTCACTCAACATCCCATCAAAATTAAGTGAATATTTTTTCTAGACACATTTAAGACTCAAATACATTTCACTCAAAAATACACTGCCTGTGGAAATTCAAGGGAAATCATGTGCGAGTCAGTGCATAAACTGCACATTTAAAGTAAGTTTACATTAAATCAGAAAATAACTTAAAAGAGAATTATTTGGCTGCAAGTGAAGTTCTCTGAAGATAGTCATCGCCTCTGAATAATGAGTCCCACAGATTCCAGCACACAGCATCAAGGAAGCAATTTCACAACTCAATTAACAAAGGCTTTTGTATCAAAAGCACAACTGTTAGCTGCACATCAGGCATGTTTCCAGGGGAATATTTATATATATATATACATATATATATATATATAAAACTATGCTGCAGTGCATACTCATCAATTACTTTTAGATCTAGATCCCAACACAAGCAGTGAATAAACCATCTCCCTAAAAAATGTCTCCCTAAAAACGAGCAAAGGGTGCAGGGGTCGGGAGGGGCAGTGCTGCCACAAGCCCATCTGCTACACAAAAAGAAGAAACACATGAATTCCTGAACCACAAGCCAAAATCCTGCTTGGCCTAAGGGAGTGCTCAGCCTTCAACAGATGTCTGTGCCAACTGGCCTGGACATCACTCCCAAGCCAGGAAAGAGGAGAAAAGGCAGCACTCGGAGCGGGAAAAGCATTTTATTGGAAAGTAGTTCTGCAAGAGAGGAAGGTGCAGGACTAGGAGCAGTTGGCCAACTAGAAAGTAGTAAAATAGAATAGAAAGGAAGCAGCTCTTGAACCTCACTGTACTAACTGCCATTAAGAAAAGGGACTTCAATGAACATTTTATGAATAATTTCCTCCCGCTCCAAACTTACTCAGATTGCACATCCATGGCCATACTTTACTCAGGCCAATAAAACCCAGAAAAATAACAGGTCTTGTTACTGTATTAAAGGATTTTTTTTTCCTAACAGAATGAAAACATTCTAAAATGTGAAATAATAACATATGCAAAGATTCTTTAAATCTACTGGCTTTTGTGGTTTACTCATTAGGTCACATTCATATATTTCCTATGAGTGCAGTGAAGGCTCCTGATCATTATTTGCCAAACCCAGGAAGCCCCAGATCTAAAGTACCATGACAAAGTCTATGTATTGTTCCTCTTTTTGTTGGTTATTATTGGGAAAAAAAAAAAGCAGATCCTGCAGTTAAAAACCACCACTCCCCCATCAGTGGGCATCAGGTGACTCTTAATAATCACAAGCTTGACAAAATAGGAAGCAGATGGCAAAAAAATATCACACAGCCAGACTAATGAATCCAATATTGACTACAAGAACTGAAAATGCCAGGCCCCATCCTACTCATCTTCATAATTAACTTTACCACACCCCAAAAATGGCTTTAGAAGCCCAGTATTTCTAATGTAGTTAGAAGTACAACGTTGCTATGGCTACTGCAGCTGTTGTTTTATAAGTGACACATCCCACCTAACCACAAAACAAGGAATTTTCCAGTATGTTCCAATGTATCAGGTGATTTATCTAAAGAGTATGTGGATGCAGAATCATAGCAAAAGCCAAAGCTCTGAAGAGAGCCACAGTAGTGTTCCTTTGATGTATTTCCTTGGACCTTGGCTCCTGCAGAACAGTGTTACTCAACTATACAAAAATCATTTACTATTTCTAGATTTTAGCAGGCAAGTAGGGACAGAGTAAACCTATGGCTGATTCATGAAGCACAGTAAAATTCACTTTCAAAATTTCCCAGACTGTGGCAGAACTCTAAAAGAAATCTACTGTCATTTTAAAATTACAAGTGACTTAAGTTTTCCGAATTCTTTTGCACTTTCTTTAGGTTTGGATTGGTTTTGTTTGCTGGAGGTTTTTTAAACGAATGAAACTATTATTAGTCTTTCTAGAATGAGACTATATCTCTTTTGGAGCAGAAATAGGGTACTACTTTAAGTCATCCTGAAGAAATTGCAGGAGAGTTATGGAGCACAGAGAATGCCAGATTAAAATAGTAGGATTTGTTGTATTGTCCTCGTGGGTCCAGTTTGCTGAATGCCTGTTGTTTGTTCTTGCTTTTTTCTATTATTTGTTGTCTGCATGGGTCTTCAAAATACCAGCAATGAAGACTTTCATAAAAATAAGTTCATGACAGCAACAGAAAGAGAATTTCCTCAATTCTAAGCCAGCATCCTGAGCAATCCATTGCAGTGCCAGCCTGCAGCACCCTCCTGTCAGCAGCAAGGTTGGGTTACAGTAGGTGAGTTTGGAACACTGAGTATATGGTCAGGCAAAATTACAAGCTGGAGTTATGCTTGGAGATCTCAACCACACAAGTGAGTTAAGGAAATATCCCTTTCCTCCCCTTCTTTTTGATCACCTGTTGCTTGGTCCTGATTTCACCGCCTGGACTGCATTTTGTAAAGTCCCAGAGGGGACGGTTTAACTACTATTTGCTCTGTGAGAAATTGGAGCCAATAAAATCTTGTTACTTAAATTAAAGCCCCTGTCTTTTAGGGACAGAAAAATGGATTTTTCCATCCTGTGCACATGACTGGCAGCAGCCACAATGGCCCTGCCCCTGCTTGGGCTCCAACTGATTACAGGAGCTCATTAATGGAAGACAGAGTCGTTGGGAAAAGAGTAGGAAGAGACACACGTTTAAGTGGAAAATGACAAACGTTGTTCCATAGGGTGTATAAACTAACACTTTATACTCTCACTCCTGAAAAATCCCTAATCAGTATCATAACTGCAGATATCTTTATAACAATGACAACTCGGGCTTTGTTAGAAAGATGAAACAACTGCCACCATCCCTTTCTGACTTGCTGGCAAAGACACTACATTGTGAAAGATTTTGATGTAGCACTCTCAAGTGGAGCATGTTTCTGGCATTATAAGATCAGAATCCGCTATCCCACTGCGCCAGAGTTTCAGAAAGGCTGGCATTGTGACCTCCTCACCCGCTGTTTCATTTCTGCAGAGTCTTTCTCTGAGTTCAGCTCCACCTGCCGCTTAAACTCCTCCAGGGCAGCGCCTGCCTGCTGGGCCTGCAGCCTCTGTACCTCCGTCACCCGCCTCAGCTGCTCCTCCTTCTCCCTGGAAAGTCACAGAAAATTTTCAGAGTTCAAGTATCAAATAAAAGAACGAGTGTGCTGGTGTAAAAGAGAGGCCTTTAACCCGATCAGTCGAAAATAAGTATTCAGATTTCAATTTCCTGTCCCAGCTTCTGCCCAACTTCCCTTGGCAGGGCTTTGAAGAAGGGAATGGAAGGCCCGAGTTATTTTCGCTTTCTCCGGTTGGATTTCGCACGCCCAAACACGGCCTTCAGAGCTCACAATACCTCCACCTTCAAAGTCTGTGTTGACTTCAATGCTTCACTACCTGCTGGAGAAGTCCCTTTTTTTAATCCCACCATTACATGAGATTCCATGAACAAAATTTAATATATAATTAATAACAAACGAGATTTAATTAAGTTATATTTAACGCACCTCCCAATATTTAAACAAATTCCTTTTAACATGATCACCTACTCCCATTAAAATAAAAAATAAAAAAAATATTCCAGTGCCATCTTTGTTCAGACAAGGTGCAGGATTATTCCCTGCTTGTCAAATCTCAAAATGCAAAGCAGGGTAATGCGTGACATGTGGTACCTTCTTAATCTATTAGAAACCCATAATGCTGTAATACCTATTCAGCCTTTGCAGATGTTAAATCTCTATGCAAAGATATTTTATATGAACAGCCTCTACTATTTGGCATATTAAACTCGAGACATCTACAGAAATCAGGGCTGGGTTTCTCAGGCATGATGGTTTATCAATAAGCAACGAATCTATCATATTTTATAATAAAAACCAGAGATGGACATCATATTGCCACAACACAGACAAAAACTCTGGTGATCGGTAAATATTTAAGAAGTTTTGATGTGATTCCACAAACAGAAAACAACCAGGCAGTGTTTGCAACTTTCTGTGACACGTTTCTATTGCCACAGGTCAGAGGAGTTGCCTGACCTTGCGTTAAGACACCGGGAAACGCGACGGTGGCATCGCTGGACAAAGCTGGCTCCACCCATGGCTTGTAACAGAAGACACATTCAAACAGACCTGTGGCTGACATTTTCATTTTACAGGCAGAGAGGAAGTACCTCACGATAAATTTCCCATTTTGACAGAAATTATTTCCATATAAAACAAAGACTCTGACACATAAGAGACGGAAAAGCCCAGCTAATTCACCCAGTCTGTCACCTTGCCAGCACTGGAGCAGCTATTGCAGCACTGAGTGAGCCTTTCAGAAAGGTCAGGAAGCTGCCAAGCCCAAAGTTACAGTATTCACATCCTCTTCTGTGGTTTTCAGACCAGACTTTGACAATGGGACAAAGAACATAATCCTACATCTTCACAAAGGGGCTGTTTGCAGTGGAGGAGAGCAGGGTAATTCCATTAGCAAAGAGATCAAAGAAATGCCACAAGCCCTGAGTCAGTGTATTACTGTTTACTTTTATAGGTTTTTTCATGATGCATATTTTAAAGAAAAATAAATTCTCTTGGTACCTTACAGCTGATGGAATAATTGAGATGTAGGGAGACTGCTCTTTTCCTTACAGGAAAAGGAAAATACCTTTCTTACCCAGTAGAAATGAGGAAAACACAACAACATCCTGTATCACATTTCTGGTGATAATTGTTTAGGGGTTTTGGGTTTGTGTTCATAGAGGACCTGTGCAAATTTCTTCAAATTTGCTAGAGAGTATCCATCACATCCACACAGATATGCTTTATTTTCATCAATTCCATTTCCTAGAGTCCTCTGAGGACGAAGCATAATCTGTCTATTAATAAAGTACCATATTCTCTATTCATTCACTAGACAATAAAAATTACACAGCAAAAAACCAACAAATTAACATTTTTTTTCCCCCCCATCTAAATTCAAGTGGCAAAAAGATCATTCAGGATTTAAATTTCTACCACAGAGGATCCAAAAGATCACAACTGCAAGGACAAAACTCCTCCACCATTTCTCAGAATGGGCACAACCAGTGATGCTTCCAGAGGTTGAAGTGCTATGAAAAGCTCATTATCCATCAGCTCCAGCTGCAAAGGTGTTTGGCTCAGTTATCCCCCAAAACCCAAATTGTCACGAGACAATTTTGGTCAAGTCAGATGGAAACAGAACAAATCTAATACAAAAGGACGAGATGTCAGTCCTCGTGCCCTTAGTGAGGCTCCAAATTTATGCATCTTCTTCCTTAGGAAGATTATTTTTATTTTGAAATATTATGATGTAAACTCCTAGGAATCTGGTTTTATGCACCTTCCTTTCTTTTAAGGACTTAATCCCATGAATAAATGCAACATCTCATTATAACCAGGAATAAAACTTCATTTTTAAGGGATGTGGGAGCCAAAGCTCTCCACTTTTTGTGCAGTTCAGATTTGTACAGAAGCTTAGAAAACCTGTACAACAATGGCCCTCGGTTCACAAATATAAGAAAAGCTTCACTTTTTCTTCCCAAGACACCAAGCAATGTGCCTTGCATGAAGCACTAAAATATTCACTTTGAAGATTATTTTTTTTTTCAGTTGGACTAGTTGTGGGGCCCAATACAACACAATTACACCACTTAAATCCCCTAAAGCTGAGCCAGCTTGAATGTAAAAACAGGGTGAATTTACTCCTTGGCCCCAATTTTTAAAGCAGCACATTCCTTTTGTTTCAGTGTATAAAGGATACAGCAACAGAACCAGGAATCTTACACAGCACAAACCATCTCAGGGAAAGTTGACTCTGAAGTCCAGAGTTACAATTTGTGAAAGCAGCTCTCTGAAATGTACTGATAAATGGGAAATACAAACATCTTACATATTTTTTCTTCATGCTTAATCATAAAATATTTGCTTTGCTTCCTGAAATGTTTTCTGAGAGGTAACAATTAAACACAGAGACATTACAGCATTGCAAGTCACGTTAATGAAACACGGGGCAATCCAGGGATTTACAGGAGAGGTTAATTAAACCTGGGATGTTGCAGCAAATGTTGGATGAACCAATATGTTACTCACAGGGTTCCCACCATTCCAACAGCACCCAAGAGCAGGAGAGGTACCTGTCTGGGTCTCAGTCTCTTCAATAAATTAAATTAAAACCCTTTAGGAGTGTAAGCACACATGTGAACAGAATGGACACACCCAAACTTTCCATGCAAAAGCAAATTCCAGGAGTTTCCTCTTAGTATGTTCTGTGTATAAGCTACAGACACAAGGACCCATCCAGTACACAGACACAGATATTTGACTTTGTACAGGGAAATATAAGCTGACCCACAGTCCTGCTCCTGATCCCAGATTGCCTCTCACATGGAGGTGCCTCAGTACCATCAGGACTCTACATAATGGCAGCAGTTAACTCAATTTATACCCAAATGCAAGATCCATGACACCACATTTTGGTGCCACAACCAATAAAAGCCACTCCACGCTGCAGTCCCTCTGACAACTCCTAGAACACTGACTATTTCAACTCCATAAATAATGTATCAAGGCCTAAAGTCCCACGTATTTGTAAAAGAAGGGGTTGCTGGGTTAGTTTATTGTTACACAAAAAATGCTTCAGTAGAAATGTCAAATCTTTGAAATACACAAAAAAACAACTTTGCTTTTCCTGCTCTGCTGTTTTGGACAAATGGTGATGGTGAAGTGCCAGCTTTGGGCCTAAATGCACCCACCCAGCCGTGGTTGGAGTATCCAACTCCACAGGCAGATATTCCAGGAAAAAACAAGGCCTCTCCTACTATGGCAGCACCCAGACATATGGAATATGTGCAGAACACTTCTTTTTTGGTGTGGAGAGGAAGAAAGACGGCGTGAAGTCATTCAAGCGGAATGATAACTAAACCAAAGCCAGATCAAAGCAGCGAAGAAGAAAGACTGAAATGTGAAGCTGAAATATTTATTGCCTTCAAAACACCATCCCTACCCTGTCCCTGGGCACTTTAATATTTCGAAGTTGTTAGAAAGCATTCTAACTTGTTTCAGCATTTCAAAGAAATAAAGGCAAAAATATAAAGCCAAGAACAATTCCGTCGTTCGCTCCCCAATTTTAAGAATAAGATGAGTTTGTCTTTATGAGAAGAAGTACAAATCCACTTATAAATTGTTTACAGTTTGCATAATTTGAGATGTTAACATCAAAAAGCTGGTCTGCATTCCTTCAAGTAAGCTATAACAATGAATATTTACAATACAATTATTATTTTAAACGATATACTTATGTTTTAAATAAATCATGAGATAACATTAACAACTAAACCACTACTTAGAGCCATTAATGAATTCAGAGTAAATAATACTCCACGTGCGTAGTATCACACAGAAATAGGAAGAATAATGCATCACATTCAAAATTAATGGTTCACAAATTAACCAGACATCGGTTAAACACACTAATAATTATTATAACTATTTCTCATTATAATAATGACAGGGTACTGTTGTGCTAGGTGCTGTGCAAACAGAATAAAAACAGCAACTAGGAAATGATGAATGAGATGTGGCTGAAAAGGCTGGGCCAGTGTTGTAAATGTGGCTGGAAAGGAAAACGTTATAATTTCGCTCAACGCTGCAGAAACTGTCTCCAAGATTTAGATGCACCACATATATGAAAGACCACAGGGGCTCAGTTATCGAGGGAGGAGGATTAGGACAGAGATTAATAGTCATGGCTTTTCCATGCTGAGACGGCAGCTAAACCTCAACCAGGAGAACACAGAGGGGGGAATCAGAGAGACAGGTGGAGATAATGGCTCAGAAAAGACAAGACAAGACTGTAATTAAAAGGTGGACCAGCAAGTCAGCAACACAGACACTGAAGAGATTCATGAGATACCCAGAAAAGAGGTGCAGAAAAGGGAAGGTAGGGATCAGAGAGCAGCGCTGTGGCACAGAGAGCTGGGGGGAGAATAAAATAAACCATCTGAAGGACAAACTATGTGAGAAATCACCAGGCAGAGGAGAAGAGCCAGGCAAGAAGAATCACTTAACACTAACAAAGCACAGCCCAAGATGTGTGAGGACTGACAGAGC